TGTGTGATGAAATATACAATATTTCTCTTTTAAAAAAAAATCAATGGGTAAACCTTGATATTAAAAAATATATTATATATATATATGTGGATTGGTTCCAATGCATCCACATTCTTAAAGTGAGGACATGAGACTCATTTTTAGCCACAAGATTTGGTACATCATATGTGGCCAAGATTACTCTTTTCTTTTTATTATTTTAATTATTTAAATTATTTTGACCGGTTGACTCTGGCGTTGACCGTTGACTTCCGGCATTGACCGTTGACTTTCGGCTTTGACTTATGGCGAAATCCATTGACTTCCGGCGTTGACCGTTGACAACTAACCTTCCAACTAGGTTAGTTCTATGTAGTTGCTAGGTTAGTTTTCTGTAGTTACTAGGTTAGTTGTCTGAAGTTCCTAGGTTAGTAGTTGCTAGGTTAGTTCTATGTAGTTGCTAGGTTAGTTCTCTGTAGTTGCTAGGTTAGTTGTCTGAAGTTGCTAGGTTAGTTCTCTGTAGTTGTTAGGTTAGTAGTTGCTAGGTTAGTTTTATGTTGTTGTTAGGTTAGTTGTCTGTAGTTGCTAGGTTAGTTGTCCGTAGTTGTTAAGTTAGTAGTTGCTAGGTTTTTTTTCTTTTTTAAAAGGAGAATTAATATTGGTTCCCCAATTCCCCTCCCAGTGACTCGAACTCGGGATATGGGATACGCCGAGCGAGGTACGCGCCACTGCGCTAAACCCTCTTCGTCGTTAGTAGTTGCTAGGTTAGTTCTCTGTAGTTGCTAGGTTAGTTGTCTGTAGTTGCTAAAACTTGTCCACATTTTAAGAGTTGACCTCATTTTAAGAGATGGTCTGCCCCCATATATATATATATGTGTGTGTGTGTGTGTGTGTGTATGTGTATCCAGTTCAAATTTGAAATTTCCTTGGCAGCTTGAGTTCTACCGTGCTTTCTTTTCTCCTAACCCCAAACTACACTCCCCGCGCTTTTCACTCTGCAATCTCTACCCCAATTGGAGGGTTGCAGTTGCAGAGTGTGAACTTCGCCGAATGTAGAAGATGGGTAGTTGTAAAAACTAGAAATTGAGAAGTCTCAAGACCCCCTTTTTCTTTTTCTTCTTTTTTCTTTCATGTGATGAATTAACTCATGGTAATAATATCTCATCGTGCAAACTATATTAACTGAGTAAACTTGCAGGCTGCAGCCATAGAAGGTCAAGAAGCTAGCATTGTGACTGATTATGTTCTCAAGGTAATATGCACTGAAAGTGTTTGCTAATATGTCTGACTGATTAGTCATATGTTGTTATTCATCAAACTGAACTTATACATATCTATGTATACATACACATGCAGATATTGGGATTGGAAATTTGTGCTGATACCGTTGTAGGAGATGAAAACACTAGGGGCATCTCCGGTGGGCAGCGAAGGCGTGTTACCACTGGTAAATATGACGACTTTTGTCATGAATGAAAACTTGCATTGCTTAATTAGGATCGTTTACAACTAATTGGGAAATAATAATAAAACAAGGCGGTTGTCGAAATAGGAGTGTTTTTTATATCAACTTCTGATTTTTCAGTTACTTTCACTTCAGCTGCAGTAAGATCACTTATTCTTGCAAATACTCCCTTCAGAAGTTCTCAGCCATAAGCATTTGGTTCTGCATTATTTGGTTGCATAAATTTAATCGAATTTTGAAAACAATGGGATGTGATGCTTCAGATTATGATTCTGCTTATGGTTTGACTTTTAGATGCAAATTAAGCTTTTGCAAACTTATTCAACAAAATCATTTTTGC